TATAGTATCTACAGATATTATTCTTAATGCTCAGAAACCCACCAAGATGACAGAATGTACTTTTTGACTCGTGATTTATAAGCTGAGTTCATGACTGCTGAATGCCTGGAGTGATTAGTGCAACAGAGGCCCTGCTAGTTCTTTGAAACTGCTGAATGGTTTGATAGCATTACTGTATAGGCAGAGAGAATGAGCAAGTGGGAGCCCAATTAGCAGCTCAAGTGCAATTCACACACACACACACACACACACTATTGAATTCATGCTACAAAACAAAGGAGAAAAATACACTCTACTTTTTATGTCCTTTCTCTTAAAATTCAAGACTGAGAGAATAAAGAAAGCAGCAGTTTCATTTCACTGCTGTGAGAGCTGGAGAATTTCAAAATTAGAACAAGCACATACTTTAGTAATTAGGACATCTCCAACCTCAGTTATTGCCCATGTCTAAATCACATTTTGTTTTAACAAAACAAAGATGTAAACACAGCATTGACTAAATATCTTCACTGGAATGGATAAGCAATCATAATAGGAAGAAACACTGCAGAATTTATCAAATGCTATTTTTGCTTTTTAAACATAAAGTAACCCATTTGTCGTATTGCCGCCATCATTAGTCAAAACAGAAGAAAGTAAGGACACTGGAATTAAAATTGGAGGGGAAAACATTTAATTCAGTTTTGAAAGCGAGCACAGTTAAGAGGATCTGACCTGGTCTTGAACAAATATTCAAAGGAGCAAAGAAGAAAGACTACTTTTGTGCTTTAAAATTAGTAGATATTTAGCTTGTAGTTCAAGTTGGCACAAGTCTGTCTTTCTACACAAATGTATCTACAGAAGTTCCTAAAATATGAGTTTGCATATGTCTGCATATTCCAAGCAAAGCTTCTCTCCTTCCTGACTTCATCAACGGTTCTTTAATCTTTCACTACAAATATTTATCCAGCAGATGAATTTCAAGAACAATTAATGGTAACTGTCTTAAAAACAGAACAAATAAACTTCCATTTACAGTTTGCTATATTAACATTCATCATATCCTTATCTGCACCAAACCATTTTGTCATGATCCCGACAGACAGAAACGAATAAAGCAGAACTCCGAGGCTTGCAAATTCCTCAAAGAACATGTTTATTAGTTACAAAGTATGGGCACAGTGAAGAGTGAAACCAAGTCTGGATACACAAGTAACAATTTTCCAATACAAATGTTCCACCCATAAAAGCTATGCAAGCAACTACGTTCCCCAATATGATTATTTGGCGGGCTTTTTATGCAACCAACAGTCCCTAGTCTCGGAAGCAGCCAATGACCTTGGTTCCCACGGGGAAAAAAGATTATTTTGACTAGTGAAGCATCTGGTCAACCCCCCTCCCTCCGTTCTATGTGGCAACCTAGAAATGAGAAGGGAAATGGCTACAGCCATGCTCATTATAGAGTTAACATATTTACTGCAACTGGAGAAATAGAGACATATTCACAATAGAACTAAAGCTAGAAAGTAACCTGTATTTCTAATAATTGACTACAAAAGTGAAGATTAAACTATATGGAAAAAGCTATTTTAAAAATAGATTTAAATAAATTCCAATTTTTGTAATTGTTCTGTGTTCTGAACATTTTAGTCCACAATCTAATTTGAACTTCATATAAAATGCAAATTTGATAAATTCATGTTGGTGTAATAAATTAATATACTGAAAGGTCAATGATAAAATTAAAACATGATAAGAGATCTATGCACTATCCAGAATTTAATTGTACAGGTAGTCCTCAATGTACAGTAATTGCACAGTACAGTACAGTAATAAGAATGGTTATGAACTCTTTCTAGTAAGTAACAAATAATTTTTTGGCACTAAAAAATCCCTAAGCATAAGAATTCAAAGTCTCCAAGTCTCCATACTGTCCATAATACAGGTAGTCTCATTAGCAACATTTGGAACCGACAACTCAATTATTAAATAAAATGGTTGCTAATTGAATGTTTAAGATCTTAGTTCAACTTTCCTTTTCTTTATAGTCCTGAAAAGGTAGTAAATGCAAGGATTGGTATTAGTCACTTTTCAACACCGTCATAATTGCAAACAATCACTAAACAAGGCCAATGTTAAAAGGGAGTGCCTATAGTCATTTTACAATTTGCTGTGATAAGAACTAGAATGCACTTCCTATTGTAGCATACTTAAAGTATGACTTCAAAAATCAATCTTTAAGGAGTCTATTGCTTCTAACAAACTTTGTTTCAGTATATTTAATAAAGAATTAATGGACTGAGTTTTAAGAGAGATCAGATTTCACATATTTATATCAAACTTAAATTTTGTTATGCAAATTCCTAGCAAAATATCACCTCATATTTGAATTCCAGATTATACTAACAAGTCATTTTTTAGTTCTTGATTAAGCGAAAAGGAATGGATTCAAATTCATCCAGCAAGCTAGTATAAGTGGTCCTCAGTTAATGACCAGTCATTCAATCACTATTCATACTTGAAACAGCACAAATGAGGACCCGGTCCTCAAAATTCCAACTGTCACAATGTCTCATCATCACATTATCATAATTTGTAATTTTCCCTGCTGGTAAAATCAATGGGAAAACTGGCAGGATGTTAGAAATCATGGTCACATGAAGTCCAAACTTAACAATGCAGTGATTCATTTAATGATGTTGACCAGGAATTGTCAGAACTGCCAGTATACAACCTCATCACTTAGCAATGAAAAATTCCAGGCGCAATTACTGTACAGTGAGGACTACCTGTACAATTAAATTCTGGATAGTGTATAGATCTCTTATCATACTTTAATTTTATCATTGGCCTTTTAGTATATTAATTTATTACGCTAACATGCATCTATCAAATATACATTTTGTATGAAGTTCAAAGATTGTGGACTAAAATGTACAAACACATAATATAAACTACATAAAGTACATGATTAAAAGTAATATCATTACTTCAATATTGTGACAATGAAAAATTGCTGAAGGCATTGTTCAATAACAAACTATCAAGCATTGTAAAGAAAGGTTTGTGAATAGTGGTTTCTCCATCAGGATGGATGTAGACTCCACTGATTGGGTAATTTAATTCCACCTGCTCAGACTAAGACAAAAAAACTCTGCCACGCCTCCTTCTGGGTGTGACTTCCCCAGTTTTGTCTTAGTCTCGTGCTCAGACAAGGCGCTTTTTAGAAGGCTCCCTAGTTAAGCGTGATTCTTCCTTTTGTTCTTTTAGACTATTCAAATTAAAATTAGTTACCTTTAAATTCAAATTTTATCAACCGATGGCTTTCACTTCCAAATTAGGAATCCTTGGAGATTGCCTTGGGGGGGGGGGATAAGGGCTCTGCCCTTCCTCCTCTGCAGCCCTTTGGGCTTTGAAAAGGGGAGGCTGCAGACTTCGTTCGGAAGGGAGCTCCCGTTCCGCCGATCTGTAGCCTCTTTACAATTCCGCCGATCAGCTGAGCAATGGAGATCAGCTTTCGGCTCAGAGACCATTTGCTCGCGTCGAGATCTTGAGGGAGAATTCCTGACTGCAGCTTCATCTGGTTCGCAGCGGAGGCTGCGCTTCTAATCGCAAGTGCTTGGGGACCGGGGGAGGAATTCGTAAGAATCAAAGCCTCTTCGTGTTTCCCTGCTGCACTATTTATTCTCCCGTTTTAAAAGGATGCCAAGGTTTCCCTTTGCTTCTCCGAGCCTTAAGGCCGGGCGGCCGCCATTTTGACCACATGGTTTAGCGCGGATGATACTAGAAGAGCCCACGTGGCGGACACCATTTTGGAGGCCTAACTAGAATCTTTGCAACATCCTTGGCAGTTATTCCTGCATTATTGCAGACTCATAGTTGTTGCCTGTGTCACTTGGTCTGTGAGCAGACCTGTTCAGGGGGGGAAGATATTCTTGTATCCACAGTGGTTGTGGTGAAACTTGTGGGGGCTACTCCAGGTGTGGGCCTTGGCTGCATTTGAGCAGACCAAGGTGTTATTAACTGGCCCTAAGACCTAGAAAAGAAGAGCGAAGAGATTCTTTTATTGACCACCTGTTTCTCAGTTTAGCCAGTGACCTTTTGTCACAAGGCCTGTACAGACAGTATTAGAACACTGCCTGGCTGCTCTTGCCATTGCCTTCTGTTCAGAGCGAGGATCGGTTTTCCATCTCTGACTGTGATCTGCGTGTTGGGTTCCTCCCCCCATTTCTAGGTACTACTGTCCAGGAATACCTAGACTGCAATGGCAGACAGCTCCTTGCCCCAGGCTTCTCAGTCCAGTGTCCCCCCCCCGCTCAAGCAAAGCGCAGATCAGAAGAATTGGACGTGGGGGGGGAGAAAAAAGCTAAAACCAAACATCTGTCTTCCAAAGATACTTCCAAATCAGCCGAGCGAGAGGCCACAAGGAGACACTTAGCATTGGAGAGAGAATTCTCCAAGGCACAAAGACTCAGATCCAGTGGGACTGAAATGGTTTCCCCTGCCCCACTGGATACTCCTTTGTCAGAACCTCAATTTGAATCATCTCAGGATGCCCCAAGGCCTTGGTCTCCTCGGGGGGAAACCGAGCAGGTTGGTCCTCCTCGCTCCTCTCCTTCATCAGCATACCAACCACCTGAGACCAGGTGTGCCTCAACAGAGGTTGGGGCCAGTTCCAGGGACCAAAGGGAAATGTGGTCCCAGGCTCAATTCCAGGCCTTCATGCACCACGCATTCAGGCAGTTTATGTCATCAACTGAGAGTAGCCAGGTGCAGTCCCATCCTACTCCTCCCGCATCTATTCCCCCACCTCAGGTGGAGCGTGACACTAGACCTAGCTCTGCTGTTTCGGAGACATCCTCACAATTAGGGGAGGAGGGATCAGTGGAACTGGGAATAGCAGACACTCCCTTGTCTGAGGAGGAGGATCCAGCTCCTGAACAGGTGACCTCTTCCGGTCTTTTTGATCCGTCTATTTTTCGGTCACTCCTCATAAAGGCCATTGACACGGTAAAACTTACCTCAGCCCAGGAGGAGACACCTTCTTCCTCAACCAACCGGGAAGCCAATCCTCTGTTTGCGGAAAAGGTCAAGGAGGAACCGCAGATTCCATGCCCACTAGTCTTCAGGTCTACGGTGGAAAAGCAGTGGGCGTCCCTAGCTACCACTCCTTCACAGAGCAGTTTAGACAAGAAACTTTACAATGTCTCTTCTTCTTCCGCTTCTCTTCTAGAAGTTCCATCCGTAGACGCTCCGCTGATCTCTCTGTTCTCCAATACCACCGTTCCGGGGGACATGGCTGAATTCTTGAAGGCAGAGGACAAAAAGTTCGAGTTCTCCTTTCGTAGAGCTCACCAATCTTCGGCTTGGGCCATAAGGGCGGCAACCTCATCCTCCTTCTTTGCACGCTTGGCGATAATGTGGTTGCAGGAACTCCAGGCGCTCATCCCCCTGGATTAGGTCAGAGCGCACCAAACAATAGGGAAAATAGTGGCAGCATCCGAATATATTGCGGATGCATCCTTGCACTCGGCTAGATGTTCGGCCAGATCTATTGCAGCCTCAGTGGCGTCACGTAGGCTGCTCTGGTTGAAGCAATGGCGCACCGATTTAAAGGCAAAGTGGCGCTTAGCAACATCTAGGTACAGTGGCACCCACCTTTTTGGTCCGGTCCTAGAGCCTCATATCATTGAGGGCAAGGACAAGCGCAAGGTGATGGCCCATCCCTCTAAAAAACCAGATAGATGGCCCCAATAGGACTTCCGTAGGCCGTCATTCCATCCCAGCGGTTCCTGGGATTGGAGACAGCCCTTTCGGGCAGGGCAGTCCTGGGATTGGCCCAGAGGCTCGCGATCCTATTCTTTCAGACAGGATCGGCAACAGGACCGCCAGAGTAGTGGAGCCAGGGGTCAGTCCCAGACCAAGCGCCCCTTCAGGGGATCGGGCAGTAGTCCTTACAGGCGGTCCAAGTGACGCCAAGGAGGACTACCCCATTGGGGGTCGACTGGCACTGTTTTACAACGTCTGGGAGAACACAACCACAGACGCCTGGGTCAGAGAGACCATAAGACAGGGTCTCTCCCTAGAGTTTCGATCTTCTCCCCCAGATCGTTTTATACAGTGCCCGGTTTCAAACAATGCATCAAAAACACAACTAATCACAACAGCCATCGCTCATTTATTAGAGATCAGAGCCATAGAAAGGGTTCCTCAGGAACAGATCGGGGAAGGGTTCTACTCCATCCTATTTGTAGTTCCCAAAGCCTCAGGCGGTTGGAGGGCAATACTGGACCTAAAGGGTCTAAATTACTTCCTCATTTACAGGAGGTTCAAGATGCAGACCCTAAAGTCCATCTTGGCAAGTATCAGGAAGGGGGATTTCCTTTCCTCCATCGATCTGACAGAGGCTTACCTACACATTCCGATCATCCAGGAACACCGCAGGTTTCTGCGGTTCTGTTACGCACACAAACACTACCAGTACCGGGCTCTCCCCTTCGGCCTATCCTCGGCCCCGAGGGTCTTCACAAAAATCTTGGCCGTGCTGGCGGCTCATCTAAGGATGATACCCGTACGGGTACAGTACTACCTGGACAACATACTGATACAGTCCAAATCTTTCCAATCAGGGCAGTCAGACCTGGCAATCACAATCCAAACACTTCAGGATCACGGGTTCTCCGTGACTTTCAAAAAGAGTCACATCACACCCATAAGACGTCTGCTCCATCTAGGAGCTCTGATAGATTCCAGCCTATGCAAGGTATATCTCTCCCAGGAGCGCCAAGTCAGCATCCGGAAGCTGACACAGCAGATCCGTGGGGAAAAAAGAGTACCCCTGGTACAATTATCCCAACTCCTGGGGAAGATGGTCTCTTGCTTGGGCATCGTTCCTTGGGCCAGACTGCACTCCAGGAACCTCCAGTGGTTCCTTTTGCCTTTTCAGAGACGCAACATCAGTGCCTCCAACAGGAAGGTCAGGGTTCCCCATCACACTCTGTCCTCCCTCCTATGGTGGACCTCGTCCGCCTTGTCCAAGGGCACCCATCAGGATCACCCTCACCACAGACGCCAGTCTGTTCGGTTGGGGCGCTCATCTTCTGAACCACTTAGCCCAGGGTCAGTGGTCCAGTCCAGACCTGGCTCACAATATAAATTGGCTGGAGCTCAGGGCCATCCACCTGGCTCTCCAAAGATTCTCCCCCCTTGTATCAGGGAAACACGTATTAATCCTGACAGACAACATTGCGGCCAAGGCTCACGTAAACAAACAAGGGGGCACCCATTCTTGGACACTCATGCAGGAAGCCCAGGCCATAGGGCTGTGGGCAGAGTCCAACCTGAAGTCCATCAGGGCAGAGCACATATCGGGGGAGGCGAATCAACAGGCAGACTCCCTGAGCAGGGTCACAGTGGATCATTCAGAGTGGAAACTGGACTCAGATCTGTTCCAGGAAATAATCACGCAGGTTCAGACAGCCCATCCTAGATCTCTTCGCCTTTCCGAACAACACACAGCTCCCCAGATTTTTTTCCAGGTTTCCGGCGAGGGGGGCGGAGGGAACGGATGCCCTCCGGAGCAGATGGCCGGAGGGCGTACTTTATGCCTTCCCTCCTCTTCCACTAATACAAGCGACGATTCGCAAGCTACTCCAGGAACAGGCAGAGCTAATTTTAGTGGCTCCATATTGGCCAAGACGCCTGTGGTTTGCCGACCTGGTGGACCTGTCACTTTCACCTCCATGGAGGATTCCCCCGGACCAAGTAGCTCTCAGCCAGGGGAACCTCCAACATCCGGATCCACAATGGCTCCAATTAGCCGCTTGGCACTTGAGCGGGAGAGTCTGACCAAACAGTCTTTTCTCCTCTGGGGTTATTTCCGTCATCCAGGCCTCGAGGCGTCCCTCGACCAATAGGATCTATGACGCCACTTTGAGAAGTTTTTGCTCTTGGTGTACCAAAAAGCGGCTTTCACCGCTCGCTGTCTCCATCCCAGACATATTAGATTACTTACTCGAGGGGTTAACTAGAGGTCTGTCAACCAGCACCATACGTAGGCAGATAGCAGCCTTGTCGACGGTTCTCACCTGTGACAACCAGGTTTCCCTGTCCCAACATCCAACAGTTAGTGCCTTTCTCAAGGGTGCGGCCAATGTAGGGCCACCTACAGTTCATCGTTATCCATCCTGGGACCTGTCCAAGGTGTTACAGGCCTTAACGTCCTCTCCATTTGAACCTCTGAAGGTTTGCTCCCTTCACTTCCTTACATTGAAGGTGGCTTTCCTCGTAGCCATCACGTCGGCCAGGAGGATTTCAGAATTGGCGGCCTTGTCAGTCAGGGAGGACTTGTGCAAGTTCCATGAGGATAGAGTGGTCCTCAGGTTGGATCCTGCATTTGTTCCAAAGGTCAATACAGGGTTTCACCGCTCGCAGGAACTAGTCCTTCCTAACTTCTGTCCTAATCCTTCCCATCGTCTGGAGAGACGGTGGCATATGTTGGATGTGCATAGGGCTCTGCGCCATTACATTAAACGAACCTCGGCTTTCAGGAAGTCCGAGGCATTATTCGTGTCCTTTCAACCTTCTACCATGGGTCGGAAGGTTTCTTCTTCCACCATTGGTCGGTGGATTAGGACGTGTATTTCCAGGGCTTATATTTCCCAGTCCCTTCCGATACCTTCACATATTACCGCTCACTCTACACGTAGTGCCGCTGTCTCAGCGGCCTGGTCTACCCAGGCATCACTCAAGGAGATTTGCAGGGCAGCGACATGGTCCTCTCCTTCCTCGTTCATAAAACATTACAGGATAGATCAATTTGCAGCAGCTGAGGCTGCTTTCGGTAGGAGAGTCCTGCAGCAAATAGTGGGTTCTCAGGAAACACAGGCCTAGACTCCCCCCCTATAGGGACATGAGCGGCTTTGGTATGTCCCAATCAGTGGAGTCTACATCCATCCTGATGGAGAAAAGAGCGTTGTCTTACCTGAACGCTTTTTCTCAGCAGGATGGTGTAGACTCCACACCCACCCTGTTAGTGTTAGTCTAGGCGTGTGTCTTTCCTTTTTTTGTTTGGAGCCTTGTGTCTGGAAACTTCGCCTCGACAAAACTGGGGAAGTCACACCCAGAAGGAGGCGTGGCAGAGTTTTTTTGTCTTAGTCTGAGCAGGTGGGATTAAATTACCCAATCAGTGGAGTCTACACCATCCTGCTGAGAAAAAGCGTTCAGGTAAGACAATGCTCTTTTCTTTCTCATTTTCTATTACACAGAATCATAACTAAAATATTTTCAAGATGGATTATTAATAATATCCAATTTCACCAATGTATGTATATTACCACCAAACAAAAATTATAAATCTGTTACTGAAATAAAATGGATTGGGGCTGTAGTTATAGGTTTTATTTTTGTTCCATAATATGGTACTTTTCTGATCAAAATGGTTATCCTCAGGCATTATGCAAATTGTACAGGGTAAATTATTTAGATTGGCAAAAACCCATTAGACGGGTTATATTTAATTCCATATCATCTTTGATTTGACTGAATTCTGGCACAATAGAAAATCATACAAATCTTACATGTAGATCTTAGGTCCCACCTGGCTTATTTAAAACTTTAAATTCTACACCAAGAAAAACAGAACTAGCAATGTACAATTATTATATACATACAGAGAAAAGGAAATCGGGGCCTGAAATTGAGAAGGGGGTGAAAAGAGGGGCTGCTGATTTTCCTACCCATTCCCACTCCCATCTCTGATTGCAGTTAAATCCTACTTACTAGAGTGGATATGTGCAGATTTACCTACCGTAATTCTGGTGTATAAGGCGACTCGGCGTATAAGACGACCCCCGACTTCGGCGCCGATTTCCATGCCTAGAAAGTCGTCTTATACGCCGGAAACTACCATAATTTCCGGCATATCAGACGACTCGGCGTATAAGACGACCCCCGACTTTGGCGCTGATTTCAACGCTTTAGAAAGTCATCTTATACGCGGAAAATACAGTACTTATTAATGGACAAGAGATGTGGGAATAAAAGTTATATTGATACAACACTAGAGGTAGTCCTCAACTTACAACATTTCAGGCACAACAATCAGATCCACACATGAAGATTTCAATTAGCTATCTTATTGTTCACGTCTATAACATAAGAATTTTCTCAGACTGGCAGTTTGTACCTGGGCCAGATAAGGTAAGGTTCAACAGATTCAAAGGGGTTGGACTTTGCCCTTTTGCACCTACATAGAGGTTCCAGACTAATTCTCTGCTTAACTCTTCCCTCTGCCTCAGGCATTCTCTCTCTGACACAACCATGATTGGGAATTTTAATCATAAGTCATTGCAGTTGTAAGTTGAGACACCCATGTGACTGGACCTGATTTTTTGACTGTTTTTATGGTGGTCATTAAGCAAATCAAATGGTCATTAAGTGAATCCATTCTCCAGAAACCAGCAAAAATTGTCCCAAATTGCAGTCACATAACCATGGAACACTGCAACCAATGAACTGAAGAAGTTTCTTGAATGAGAAGCAAAACCTTTTCAAAGGAAAAAACCAAGAAAGTCCAGTTGCTCTTTGGACAACCCTGACCTGGATGATTGAGAATCTCTATAGACATTGCAACTGATTATGAATGTGAGTAACTTTCCAAAGCTGATGTAATTTTGAATGGGTGCTGAATGACTGTCCTAAGTAAAGGACTACCTGGAAACTAGCTGAATATTTTGAAATACAGATTATACTATAAACTGCAGCTTGTGGCAAAATACCAAAACTAACTACAGTATGAACTCCACTAGAAATGACAGCTGAAAATATCAATTCCGAATCTGTGAGAAGCCTTGAGTACTTCAATTTCTTTTTCCATTTTATGCTTTGATTTTAGGAACAGTAAATATCTGAAATCTAAACAGGAAGAAAAATTATAGCACCAAATAAATGGTAGTCATCTAGAAATGCTGAAGCATTGGGAAAGAGAAATATACGGAAATTAGAGAAAAGCAAACATACCGTATATGCCGGTGTATAAGACGACTTCCGGAAGTGCTAAACTCGGCGC